GAGATAAGCTCGTTTGCTATGTCAATATGTCATATCCTCACATGATAGACTGTATGGATAGTGGCAAAATTTTTTGTGTCGAGTATCGAATATTCATTCATGTTGAAAGGACTCAAATGAACGAATAATATTCGAGTAACCATTCCAGAATTTACGAATTTGAATACTGGAATAGCGGGGACTTTGAGTATACAACATCGAACAACGAATAGTATGCGTTAACGAATATTCGAATAATCGAGTAGATGGATTGGAAAAGTCAACTATTCGGACATTCGTTATTCTATTCTATCGTGATTATTCGCCCCTTAACCATATTTAATAATTTTACAGTATTCGCACTAGGACTATTCTATAATCTCAAATATCTTAAGAAGAATATTATTCGAATCTCAGTTTCAAACTGTTTGAACTTGAACATTCCAATATTAATTTTTCCAACATTCTATTGGGATAAGTGGACAAACGCATTATTCGAATAAATATTAAGATAATCGAATGGTTGCATTTTTCCAAAAGCTCAGTCATGTCGACTTATCCTATTTTATTTGAACACGAATTATTGGTCTCAAATATAATTGCGAGTATACTGTGTGCGTGATCGGATTCTAGTTCTCGTTAAAATTGAGTCAAAATCATCATATAAATCAAAAGTGTAAACATCGAGAAGGTTGTTTGCATATACTCATTGAATGGCTACTTCTAATGTTACAATATCGCATGTATTTCAATAAAAACTACCACATCCAATTTCATTTTGATGATATTAATCTCTGACACAACAAAAGGAGAAATACTTATTAAATTTTCCTTATGACTAGCATAGAAGTGAAGAAAGTTTTCCAAAGAAGGAATGAATTAATCGGCCATTGATTTGTTGCCATTAATATTCCACGTCCGTTATATGACATTCAAAAAGTGCGATGTTGAAATTGAAAACATCGTTTGTTGTGAAATCACCAAATAGCGCTTTTGCCGTCTAACACAATTCGAATCAAACAACAGCTGAAGCAAACGGCAATCGGAGGTAAGATTTTTCTCACTTACCTTTATAACTTTAGATTTCTAAATATAATTAGAGCAGAAGTTGTTTCGGCGCTATAGGTGATGAACTGGATGGCTATGACCTATTAGTGGGTAAAATGGAGAAAAAAGATTCCGACTGTATAGATGATTAATGAATGTTCATGTTTGAAGTGTTCATACTGGCTAATCCGAATTTAGACCTGTACGAACTGGATAGAAGTAATGTATTTTGTTCACTTCATTTTTCATCTCATTATTACCATTGTAGGTAGTTTCCTAAGGCTCTAGCATTTTTCATTAATTTTTACACCTTGCAGCAAGGTATACTAACTCTTATAAATCGGACCATCAACTAATTTATTATGCAAATGCGATTATAGCACAATCCAGTTACGGGGTACATTTATTCGCTGTCTTTCGCCAAAATTTCCAATTTGAGAAGT